ATACCAACTAGTAACCTAAGAATAACAACAGCGGTAAACATTTTTGTTTTTCACAATTAAAAGTTAGAAAAATACGGGCAAAACTTTTGTTGATTTTAAATTATTTTCTTTACTCTTTCGAGGATGGGAGCCCAGCTGCCTGAAGTGTTGTTATACGGAGGTAAATAAGTAACATGCAGCTAACAGTTGACGGTTTGGGGTTGAGTTCGCATTGATGTGCTAAGAGATAACAACGAATCAGGTGGCAAATAAGGGCCAAACTCAGCAACATTTAATTCAACAAACCGAAATGCGCACAACTACAAACAAAATAAATAACACACTTACACGTACATACTGATGTATGTACAAAATGGTCAATGTGGCTGCAACCACCCACCGACTAGTGAGCGTGTTATAGCTCCACCCACACAGCAGTGAATTTGAGTACGCTGAGGAGCGTTGGGAGCGAGCAAGCAAATAATAGAGGAATACTCAACTTGCGCCAATCAACAAGCACGCTTTCACATTGCTTGCCTGCATCATTTCGAAATTGTATACACTAAGCAGTGTATGTGCATGTTTGTGTGTTAATTTGCAGCACTTAACCCTTAAGTTATTTACTCAACATTGTTTTATTTAAAGAAATACAAGAAAAAAAAGTGAAATGGCCTTTTTGATACAGCAAGCAAGCAGAAAAGTTAATCCAAATTTCGCCAAATGCCAATTAAATGAATGAGCAAACTCGCTCTACCTTAAAGGGCCTAGTTAAATGAGCGGAAGTCGGGCGAAAAGTTAAATTCCCCTACTTTCCATTACTACTTTTAAAACTCTTGCTTTGTATATAAGTGTCCATACACTGGCAGATGAAGATTTCAGCCAAGTCCCTTTTGCCATTTTCTACGGCCCATCTTTTGCTGGTTGGTTATTGGCTTTTTTTCGTTGCGTGTTTTCCTTGCCCGTCACCCTGTTGGCCTCTTGCAGCGCCTTTGTCTTAATTAAAAGACCAATTTGCAACTTCCGCACGAACGCTTCCAGAAAACTTTCTCCAACGCGGGTGGGCGTACTAAGATTACTTGTTTCTACGTTGCGCATAGCAACAAAGCGAAGATGAATGCAAAGTAAAAGTAAGAACCCCACCAGGCAAAGAAGACTGAATGACGCACAAAAAAAGAAAACAGAAAAAACAAAGCACAAGGCAAAAGCCAATGTAAGAAAAATTAATTAAAATTATAATAAACCGCCTAATTAGGCAGGAAGCAAATGAAAGTGCGCGAAAAGAAGCTCTAAAGAAAGTTAACTGTAATTTAAATATTACAAAAGTATCGCGCCAATGAAGGAAGCATGGAGGGAATAAATATGGGTATGGGTGTGCTTGGGTGTTGGTTTTGGTGTTGCTACTAACAGTCAGGCATAAAACGTCAAGCTTAGCTGAGTATAAGCAGCAAATCCACATCAAGCAAACTTAGCAACAGCTACATAAAAGTGGAAAATTAAAATAACTTCAACAAAAGTCTCTTAGAATTGTACGTCAAGGATTCAAAGATAAAGCGGCAAGAATGGAAGCCAAACAAGTGATGGCGGTTCAGTAACAATAAAAAGATGTGAAAAAAAATTACGCACGAAAATTGTAACGTAAAAAGTATGCAAACAAATAAATACGTAAAAATCCGTGATATTCTCATAGAAATATGTATGTAAGTACTTTTTGTACGCGTTTTATTTTTACAAAGCACAAAATGCAAAACGTCA